AACATGAGAAATATTTGATAAAATAAGCGGGATTAGTGAATTGTAAATTGATTAGAACTAACGTTGAATTTTGATTATACCCGAGTAGTAATTTAAATGGATGGATTATTTCGGAGTATAATTTACATGGAAGAAAAACATAAATAATGGCAATTGAATTTACTTGGTTAGATTAAAAGATTAATGCAAATTTTTTTGAAGAAAGTTTGTTATATGCACGAGAAACAAATGTCAAAATCCTAACATATACAATATATACAAAAAAAATAAAATATATATAAGATGAAATAAAATATACCAAAGTCAAAATAAATTGTCTGATCTGGCCTGGCACGGACAGTATTAGATTTCGGGGAAGGGAGGGTTTGATTCTCCCAAATGTACAGGCCTAGGGTGGAGCAGACACTTTATTTAGAAATTAGGATTAAGGGTCTTGATATTGGGTTTTCTTCTGTTCTTATTCTGATCTGAAATTAGAAAAAATAATATCTGTATTATAGGTAAACAGTTTGGTTATTTAGAGTTATTTACATGTCATTGTTATAAATGTATACTAATTGTGATATGTTATCTGTATTTAGGTAAACAGTTTGGTTATTTAGAGTTATTTACATGTCATTGTACAAATGATAATGATTGTAATACTGATGGTAGTTGTCAGAGTAATGGATGTGCAACAGGCTGGTATGGTTCTACTTGTCAAAAACGTAAGTATTGTTGTAATACTAATAGTATAGTACTATCTATATATGATTTATGTATTTTATAGAACTTGGACATATAAAATATACTGAAGAATACTAAACGAGTTTTATTTTCAAAGTTGATCAATGTTAATTCAACGTCTGGTCGTCAGTGACGTTTCTGGGAAATGTTAGGTGAGGTGCCGAGCAGGGACCACAGGAAATTATTTCACTGTGTAAAATGATAAAAAAAAATTGAAAGCAGCTGGAGGTGTGGGGTGGGGGAATAGGGGTAACTCGATTGGCGTGTTCTGTACGTTTCATTTAAATACAGAATCATACCACATTTCATTTCATTTACATCGTTCTTCTCAAATATCAATCAACTTTACATTTTTTTTCTATGACGAAATTCATCTTCTTCTTCTGCGCAAGAGACTTCAAAGACCTCTTCATGAGATATTGTAATCAGATCTGTAGGTGTCAATGTGAATGGACAAATAAAAACCTCTCAAATGAGAATTAATAAAAAGTTGCATGGTGTCATGCCGTATTTTTTTATCACGTTTTCACCTAAATGTGAGGACCATAAGAAATTTTACTTCACCAATTGTGTACGATGTTGTAAAGAAAGATTTTATTATGTATCTATAAAATATCATATAGTATGTTGTATACTCCTGATGATGAGGGAATTGTTACAACTTTCTACTTTGTTTTTATTTATGGTATATATATGTAATAATAAGTTTCTGTAATTTATCTTAGAGAATGTTGCATTAGGGAAACCAGCGTCTCAAGTATCACAATACGATGTTTTGGGACCTGAACTAGCAGTAGATGGTGATAGATCACAAGATATTTTTAGATGTATGAATACTGGTTATAATAATAATTCATGGTGGAGTGTAAACTTAATAGATACCTACTCTATCAGACAAATACATATTTTATATAGACAAGGAGATACTTATACTTATCCCGGAGATACTGATAATTCTATCGATGAGTGTTAGTAATTTACTAATTATTTATAATCAGTTTGTATCAACATGTCTATGTTATGTTCTTATTAATGCCCGTATGTTCTAATCAATGCCCATATTCAGTTTTATGATGATAGAGTTATTGTCATTGATGTGAAACAAAGTTTGTGAAAAAGAAAAGAGACTTAATACCACTGAAAGAATTGGCGATAAATTAATTTGATTAATATATTTTATTATAGTTCAGATCTAAACTAAAGATAGATCTTTTACAAGATAATGCTTCCGAAATTAAAGGTATACTACCTCTTAGAGGAAGAACAAAAAATTGAAATGTTTAAACTTAACAGGATCTTTTTTCATCTAGCTATACAACATAATCCCTATAATCCAATAAATCCATAAAACTGAATAATATTTAATTAAATTAAGTAATTTTGAAACATGTTTAGAAGTGTGTTTCAATGATTATTTAGTGTAATGGATAAATCGTCTTATATAGAGTTTCTATTTTTTAGTCATAAAACCTAGTAGGTCCATCTGATGAATATATACTTGTTGACAAGTATGAGACTTTTAATTTTATGTCCATTCTAAGAGAGGTAGTATTCTTTTAAATAGTATAATATATGATCTTATGGTATATTACCATATTATATTATGGTTTGTTAAGATAATGATGTCAAAGTAAAATAAATAATCTATTCTAATGGTTTATTACAGATTTATACACTCTAAAAGGATTTAAAATAGATGTTATACAAGATAATGGTGCTTCAGTTGAATGTTATAAACAACCTAATGATATTCAACCATCTAGTATAGACTTCACAGTAAACTGTAATAAAACAATTTGGGGTAGTAAAATCAATATCTCAAGAACTATTGTTATCGAAAAGCTTTTCTATTCTTTTTGTGAAGTGGAGGTTTATGGTAAGTATAATTAACATTAGTATTGTAAGTTTTATACATTCACATATTAATAAGGACATAAGTTTTTATCCACATGTTCCGATTTCCTTGTTCAAAGATTAATGTTTTCTCTATTTTTGACACCCACGCGAATCCGGACCCTCCGTCTGTCGATCTGGCTATTCACATTTATCTTTACTTACTCTATAGGTTAAAGTACTAGACATCTTTAAATTTGTGACAAGACAAACAATATGACTGTAGAACTTCGTAATGAACGTTCAGTTTTAATCAGAAAGTGAGGGATTGGACAGCTCTCACTGCAGTAGAGCATAATATGGTGAAGAAGTTTTGTTACTGTAAAGATAATAATATTGTGATTATTTGTTATGTCCTAGTATGCTCCAATAGAACATATGGTGAAGAGTGTATGAAGTATTCTTATTGTAAAGATAATATTATTGTTAATATTTGTTATATTATAGTATGCTCCAATAGAACATATGGTGAAGCGTGTGAGAAGTTTTGTTATTGTAAAGATAATATTATTGTTAATATTTGTTATATTACAGTATGCTCCAATAGAACATATGGTGAAGAGTGTATGAAGTATTCTTATTGTAAAGATAATATTATTGTTAATATTTGTTATATTATAGTATGCTCCAATAGAACATATGGTGAAGAGTGTGAGAAGTTTTGTTATTGTAAAGATAATATTATTGTTAATATTTATTATATTACAGTATGCTCCAATAGAACATATGGTGAAGAGTGTATGAAGTATTCTTATTGTAAAGATAATATTATTGTTAATATTTGTTATATTATAGTATGCTCCAATAGAACATATGGTGAAGCGTGTGAGAAGTTTTGTTATTGTAAAGATAATATTATTGTAAATATGTTTTATATTACAGTATGCTCCAATAGAACATATGGTAAAGAGTGTGAGAAGTTTTGTTATTGTAAAGATGGTGTACCATGTGATTATATAACAGGAGTATGTTCAACTGAAGGATGTTTACCAGGTTATACTGGATCAAGCTGTAATCAAAGTATGTTTAATGAAAAAGCGCTAAAATTTCTTCTTTGAAATTTGGATCGAATTGTTTGTTTTCTTAATATATTGGGGACATAGGAAGTTTCGAAATAAGTAAACCCGGTCAACTGGAATATTGTATACTTATTATTATGTGAGCTATTGTAATAAGTCTGTTTTTTAATTCGGACATTTTTCAACGATTGAACTCACTATAATCTTCATGTATATAATTACAGAATGTCCAACTAGAACGTATGGTAGAAATTGTTTACAACTTTGTTCTAACAACTGTTTAAATCTAGAATGTAACAATATGAATGGTATATGTATCGGTGGATGTAAACCAGGTTTTAAATCAGAACTTTGTAACCAGAGTAAGTATTGTATTGACATAAAATATACACTAACAGATA